TCTTTTAACTCATGAAAATCTCATTGCTGTTGGTTATAACAGATGTAGTTTGTCTAATCTACATTTTTATTAACTGTCACCTACTAAAATATTGACTCAAATCCTGCAGCTATTTGATTTCAAGCTTTAAATTGATCTGGTATTCTACGTGGGGCTCCAATTGCATCTAAAGAGACATGAGAGTTGAAAGACCCATAAGGGGCTTCTCTCACTTTATGATGTCTAATTATTTTTTTCCTTCTGGTTGATGAAATGCCAGGGTGAAAGGGATAGTCAATTGGACTGAAGTACAAGTGTCACTCCAGCTATTCAGCAGAGTGCCTAGTAAAGGTCCACCATAATACCACCACACATCCGCTCAGGGATGAACAAGGGCTGACTGATTGATAAGCTCTTAAAAATTCTTAAGCTCATCGCATCCTTTCAGGTCTCCAAGGAACGCTAAGTTTCCTCCCTGCTGTGAGAGACATGAAGTGAACTTAGTGTTGGGAGATGGAAGCTGGATGGCCCTCGGGGGCTGACCCGCAGGGACTTTGGGATATAGCAGAGAGAGCTTGGCATGACTTATTACTCCAGGCAGTAGAATCCTGGAAAAGAGCTATCATGCAGCCTACGCCTGGTCGACTGGAGGACCACCTTAGTGGAAGGGGGACAAAATGTGCACAAGCATAACAATTGCTTTTGTTTAATGTGCAGATGGAATATTTGATCCATTTTAACCAGGCATTTGCATCTTGGTATCCTGTCTTAATGGCTAAAGTTTGTTTTAAGTCTTTAACTTCTATGATCCTCTAGTAAAATGAATGTATGGTTTTAGGGAAATTACAAAAACCAGTTGGGGTAGTCCATCCTTGCTCTGTAGTGGTCCACAGAACGTTGGACCAACTAAGGTATGAAAGCTCTACATCGGGGGGCAACACTCCTGGTTGGCATTGGGGTCTTTATCAAAATGTCCCCAGATTAAATTGTCCTAGTTTACTAATGTCTAGTCTGAGGAGAGTCAGGAAGGACAGAAGTACTTTTCTGAAGTAGAAAGCTGTCTTTGACTTGGCAAGTCCTCACAGGGTATAACAAGGCAAGCATTAAATTCAATAGTTTGAGAGGAAATTGACTTGGTTATATTAATAACTAGATGGTCAGCAACAGAACAAGGAAAGAAGAAAGAGTAATAGAACAGATTAAAAGAGTTAAATTTTTCTTAGCTTAGGTTGGTAGGGTTTTCCCTTGGGACTGTGGCCCACGACTCTGGAGTGGGTGGTGCTTCTGGTTGTATTAATAACTAGATGGCCAGCAGTAGAACAAGGAAAGAAGAAAGAGTAATAGAATAGATTAAAAGAGTTAAATTTTTCTTAGCTTTAGTTTGGTAGGGTTTTCCCTTGGGACTATGACCCACGACTCTGGAGGAGGTGGCACTTTCTTGACACAGGTGTGATGAGTCCATCCCTTTTTTGCTGTGTGAACAGCAGTCTTGGTGGTTAGCAGCACAAGGTAAGGTCCTTCCCAGGCTGGCTCAAGTTTTCTTCTTTCCACCTTTCGATGAGAACGTGATCTTCAGGCTGGTGCTGGTTTACTGGAAATTCTCGGGGTAGTACATGTGCTAAAGACTTCAGCTTTTTTTTTTTTTTTTTTTTTTTTTTTTTTTGCGAGAAAGCAAAGTGGAAGAAAAACCAAGTATATAATTTTTAGAAATTGACCTTTTGTTTTAAATGTGGAGACATTGGCAGTGAACTTTATAGTCTTTAGTGCCTTTTTACTGAGAAATTTCCTTTAGCACCTGTTTTTATTAGTTTTTAAACCAAAGAAAGCCAAGTACCATTTTACATTTAACAATGCTTCTCGTATGATTTTTATACCAGATAAGCTAAATTTTATCTTTATATTAGTGTTATTAATGTTAAACCTAATTTTAATAAAACCTTGTAGACATATTTACTTAATTTTTAATGTTTGACCATAAGGTAAGATTTTATAGAGTCTTTTTAACCTTTTATAATTTTTGCTAAAAAGCAGGTTGGTGCCTTAAGAAAAACCTGTTATGTTTTAATGTCCAGTTCACAGAAAAACTGAATGATACTTCTGTAACTTTAGCCAATATGTTTACACAAAGAATGTTCTTTACCATTAACATTTTAAAACTTGCTTAAACCTTCAAAACAATAATTTTTTTTAACTTTTTAATGTAGGTAAAAAATTTACATTCTTATGCCTCCTTATAATCCTTTCACCAAAGGTATACTTATCTTTTCTTATACCTCTTGCACATAAATTGTTTTTTTTTTCAATAGTTTTACATTCAAGAGGCCTAGTTACTTTTAAATTATACAATATTTTTTACATAAATTCTTTTTTTAACACACTTTTTTTTTTCTCTCATGACTTTTACAGGCAATTTTTTGACATGCCTTAACTTTCTGACTTATTACAAACATTTCTTTCTTTAAATAACCAGTTAATTTATTTCAGGACAAGAATTTACCATATAACACTCTTTCTATATAAATTCCTCCCCCTTTTTTCCCTTTCTTTTTCGAAGATAAGAATCATTTTTTTTTCCAAGGTGAACTTTTTGTGTGTGTGTCTGTGGACTAGACTATCTAAAGGCCACAAGAATAGAATTACTATAATATATGTTACGCTGTTAACTTTTGCCAACTTTACTTTTGTTGAAAACCTTGTAAGTTTGGGATTTTAATTATCCTTTGCTATTCATAAGACCTTGTTTTTTCCAATTTAGAATTGGTATAATGACTTTTAAAGGAATAGGGTACACTTTTTTTTTTCTTAACTACTTGTGTATCTCTCTCTCTCTCTTTCTTTCTTTCTCTTTTTGACTTTGTCTCTCTCTCTTTGACTTTCCTTTTGCCTCTGTCTCTTCCTCTCTCTCTCTGCCTCTGTCTTTCTCTCTCTCTCTCTCCTTGACTCCCTCTTTGTCTGTCTCTTCCTCTCTGTCTCTTCGTCTCTCTCTCTCTTTGCCTCTTTTCCTCTCTGTCTCTTTCCTTTCTCTCTCTCTGCTGGTCTTTCCTCGCCTCTGCTGGCCGCTTACGCTGCTGATCTCTCAACCACTGTGTGTTAGGGGCAGGGGATCTAAAACAAGCTGGTCTGGGTTCCCTGGCTTACAGGTTACCTCGTGCCATATCTTTGAAACAAGGGACCTGTCCAGGCTTCCTTCTAATGGCCAACCTACCTCTAATGCTGGCCAGTCTATCTTACACAAAGTTTTAAGTTTTCCTGGTGTCATAGTACTCCATAGTCTCCCTTAAATCCTTTTTTTGAAAATTTTCAACATAGTTCCTAGTGGGGTGGGCTTACTTTGTGCCTCACCCATGTTTCCTCTAGACAAAACACCACGCTCACACCACATGCACACCACAAAACAAAGAATGGGTAAAAAGGGTGCACACACACTTTTGTAGTTTACACCAAACCAAAATCAAAACCAAAATCAGAGTATCAAGAAATCCAAACCAGGTCAAAACCAAAACCAAAGTATCAAGCAATCCAAGTCAAGTCAAAAACAAAAACCAAAGTGCCAGTACAGGCACACCATGGGTGATCAGGCCACGCTTCCACTCAAATGGAGTGGGCAAGTTCCCAAGCCCAATCCTGTCAAGCAATTCAAACCAAGTCAAAACCAAAACCAAAGTGCCAATAAAGGCACGCTGTGGGTGATCAGGCCACGCTTCCACTCAAATGGAGTGGGCAAGTTTCAAAGACTAGTCTTATCAAGTTTTAGATGTCCAGACTCCAAATGTGTGTTCCTTCCCGGTGTTCAGCCACTGCGTTGATCCTCCATGGGGGCCTGCCACACACTGCTCTTGCGAGGCGTCCCACTGGGGCAAATGCCTAGCGGGGAGCACTCTCAGGATCCGTGTCACTTGGGCTGGTCAGAGTCCCCCGCAGGGATGTTCCACAGGGCAGGCTTGAGCTGCCTCGACCATCTGCCATTCACCTCGCTTCCCAGTCAGGGAACCAAGAAATGTAGCAGGACAAGCCACAGACAAAACTCCTCGGACACCGAGTTAAAGAAGGAAGGGGTTTATTCAGCCGGGGGCATCGGCAAGACTTCTGTCTCAAGAGCCGAGCTCCTCGGATGAGCAATTCCTGTCCCTTTTAAGAGCTCACAACTCTAAGGGGGTGCGTGTGAGAGGGTTGTGATTGATTGAGCAAACAGGGGATACGTGACTGGGGGCTGCATGCACTGGTAATTAGATCGGAACAAAGCAGGATAGGGATTTTCACAGTGCCTTTCTATGCAATGCCTGTAATCTATAGATAACATAACCAATTAGGTCAGGGGTCAATCTTTAACTACCAGGCCCAGGATGTGGCGCCGGGCTGTCTGCCTGTGGATTTCATTTCTGCCTTTAGGTTTTACTTCTTTCTTTGGAGGCAGAAATTGGGCACAAGATGGTATGAGGGGTGGTCTCCTCCCTTATCCTCATGTAAGTTTTTTTTCTTTTAATAATTGCTGTACGGTGTTGTGAAACCATACAGTCTTTGCAATACGAAGACTTTGGCCCCAGGATCTTATAATCACATTAGCACTTCTTCAGAAGTTGAACTATGTATCTTGAAGTTGACATTTATGCCTTGTTCTTTAAGACTGAAGTTCACATTCTGCACCACTGACAATTTCTGACAGTTTCTTGTACTGTGAAATGTTCTATCTATTCTATACATGTATAAAAAGTGAAATGTATCACTTTACCATCTGGACCATGTCTGTTAGAATTTAACAGGAAAAAAGCACCATTACCTAGAGGCTGGTAAGAGTCATGATCTTTTGCCCCATAGAAAGTGGATGTTGCAGATCACAGAGAAGGTGAATGAGTAGCAGCGCTCCCTTGTGCTTCATGGGGTCAGTGATAACCAAGTTCATTAACGAGTGACAGGCTTAATGACTAACACACCTCTAACATTCTCCTCTAGCTCAGATGAAAGAGAGAATGGGACTTCTTGGTACTGACTGTTTTTCCTCTTCCTCAATTGGTTTCTTTTAGGGAGCTACACATTTACTTGCCCACTGATGATTGATGTTTTCAGCCAGCACGATGGACAGAAGTCTAAGGAACGTCCTTGTTGTTTCCTTTGGGTTCCTGCTTCTCTTTACAGCCTATGGAGGTCTGCAGAGCCTGCAGGTATGTGTCCAGTCAAGTTACCTGAACTTCTTGGCCTCCAAGAATCCCCATGGTCACAGACAATAATGAATTGGAAATTTGAAAAATCTAATTCACCTGGTGTTTCTTTTTCACTGCACACCAAATCCTCTAAAACAAACAGTGGTTCTCAGATGCAGTCCTCCAGTGAGCAGTTCCCACTCTCATCTCAATAGGATTGGACAACAATGAAGTGTGCGTTGCTCTTGGAGAGCTCTGGACAGCAGGGGTCTTGGGATCGTGATTTGTTGGGACATTCTTTGCCTTTGGGTGGTTAAAAGGAGACACAGGAAAAGTCATTGTGAATATGATTGCATGCCCTTGGCTTTGTGGTTAGGGGCAGCCATGTGAATTTATCAAATATCACTAGACCTTATAGATTCCAAGCTTACTCTAAGCAAAACTGTGAACTTTGACAACATGGTCTCTCTATACTTTGAGCTCTTTACGTCATGCTCTCCGGGACAGCTGTCTCTGCTAGTCAGGACTGGCGTGAGCAACACAGAGTGTTCAGATAGAAGTGACTCAGGAATGACTGTGCCCCAGCATGCCTAGGAGCTCAACCCACCTCTCTCCAAGAACCCCAAGGCTTCCACGCGGTTGGCTTCGCTCTCAGGCCCCAACAAGGCACATGCATCCCCAGACTCCCTCCTCAGAGCTCAGCAGCCCCAGTGAGAAGACAGGGCCTCATTCCAGAGAGTTCTCATGAGTCCTCACCCTGGTCTGGACTAGGTCCCCTCATCCAAGGACCAAGGATGCTCTTTTGTGGCACCTCCCCTGCAGCTGCCACCTCCTCTCACCCTTTCTGGCTGCAGGCCTCCAAGTTCTCATTCAGCTCTCATCTTGGAGGTCACCTCCTCCCCACCCTGCCCTGGAGCCGAGGTTGGGGTGGGGCACCCAGCACCCTCATGGCAGCGTGTGCCTGCCCATGTCATCTCCACCAGTGGCAGCAGCCTGCAGTTTCCAGGACACAAGGGCCACGTCTCTGGTCCATCCTCGAACCTCAGACAGTGACAGGCACTCAGAGGTGGGCGATGGATATTTGTTGAAGGGAGAAATCATTCATGCACACTCACTTGCTTCATATCCTTGGGGCCTCCCCATGGGCTGAAGGACCCCTTCCATTCCCCGGGAGCATGCAGGCCCCTCACAGACCGATTCTGGCAGAGTCTCCAGCCCCGTCCTGCCACACTGTCCTGTTCTCAGCTGAGATTCAGGCAGGCGTCCACAGAGGTGTGAACAGCTCTCACAGCCATCCAGCCTCAGCACAAGCACTCACAGGGGTGCCGGGCCTTCCCTCCCTGATGTTTAGACACACTAACTGCTTTATTCCAAATTCACCTGTACTTTCCTCCCACCAGCTGCAGAGGAGCTGGCGGTTCCTGGGAGCTGTGGCGGCCTCTAGCCTGGGGGACACTGAGGACCTGCTGGTGCCTCATCCCACTGTGTCCATCCCGTGCTCTGACAGGGCTGGCTTTGTTCCCACAGAGCAGCCTGTACAGCGAGGAGGGCCTGGGTGTGACAGCGCTCAGCACCCTCTATGGAGGCATGCTCCTGTCCTCCATGTTCCTCCCACCGCTCCTCATTGAGAGGCTGGGCTGCAAGGGGACCATCATCCTCTCCATGTGTGGCTACGTGGCCTTCTCCGTGGGCAACTTTTTCGCCAGCTGGTACGCAGCCCCCACCCCCTGCCCACCCCACTCTGGCCGTTCCCCACACTAGGGACGTTCACTCTGCACACGACTTGCATTTGCGCCTGATTACTGTTCACTGCAGGCATTTTAAAATGAGCTCTGCTGCCCCCGCACCCCCACCTCGCTTTGGTAACAGACGGTGCTGGGCTTCCTTACTGTTTTCTCACCAAGGCTCCTCTGTGCCCCCCACTGCTTCCATCTCCTCCTTCCAATCCCTGATGCTGGCCTCTCCCTGGGATCTGTTCTGATCCTCAGCTCTCCTGGCTGGGCGAGGGTTCCAGTAACACAGGGGACTCTAACTCCAATGCAGAGGGTGAGTCTTGTGGGCACCTAGGCAGATGTCACCAATGGACCAAAAGCTGCACCTTGCCCACCATTAGGAAGTGGGTATGGCCAGGGCAGGTCACAGGGGTGGGAGGTCACCCTGCTCCCTGGTGACTTGGACCACAGAGACCGAGCTCTGAGGGCTTTGGACTGCACCCCAGGCCCCAGGAACACAGCCATGGAGCATCTTCCAGGGACGCTGGTTGTGACCCAGGACATGCTGCTGATGACGGCTGCATGTCCTTCTTCCCGGTAGCTGCAGAGTCTCACACAGCACCCTGCCACCAAGGCCTGAGCCGGTCACTTGGTCTTTTTAACTGAGGCTGTCCCTCGGCCTTCTTTGTTCTCCTCATCTTGTTTTTTGTGGTTGCATCCAATACAAGGAGCCTCACTGGCCTTCAATTTCACTTTTGCAAATCAATCTGAGCTGGAAAATGCACTGATTTTGCTCATTTATCTGAGTCTAATGGTGAATCCATCCATCCAACCAGCAACACCCATTACCATGCTTGCAATGGACCAGGCGGCGTTTCCTTCTCCCAGAAAGACTAAAGAACCGCAGGGACATGGGTGCAATGGGCTTGTGTCTCCTGTCACAGGCGGTGCTGTGGGTCTGCCTTTTACCCACAGGTACACTTTGATCCCCACCTCCATACTGCTAGGGCTCGGGGCCGCCCCGCTGTGGTCTGCGCAGAGCACATACCTCACGATCATGGGAAACACACATGCAAAGAAGGCGGGAAAGCACGGCAAAGACGTGGTGAACCAGTATTTCGGCATCTTCTTCCTCGTATTCCAGTCATCTGGTGTGTGGGGCAACTTGATCTCATCGCTGGTATTTGGCCAGACTCCCAGCCAAGGTAAAATTCTAATTCAAATTCTATTCTTTTAAGAGATCACAGAACTAACATTAGTTTTCAAAAACAGAAAAGTTGTGAAATCACCTGTCCGAAGTCATGGAGTTGGTAACGGATAAATCTGAAAGAGAATCCAGCATTCATGGCACCCAATCTCATGTACTTTTTTCTTTTTGACTAGTTTTGAAAACTTGAAAAATTTTAATTGTGTCAGAAAAGTAGTATAACAGGTAAGCAGCACTTTTCCAAGTTTATTCTTCCCTGAATCTTTGCGGAACACTAATAGGATTTTCCACCTCCCAAAGTGTCTTAAATGGAGTCTAGGGTCATGTGCTTAGGGGTAAATCTATTTTGACACACTGGGTCTTTCCACATGACCTGTAGTGATGCCTCCCTGCAGGTGTCCATCCTTTCCACCGTCACTTTCATTCCTCAAGAACCTACATCTCATCATATTTGCGGTCATCTCATGCTTCCCATCTGCTCTGACTTCACAGAGGCCCTCCCAGAAGAGCAGCTCATGTCCTGTGGGGCCAGTGACTGCCTGATGGCCACCGCAACCACCAACAGCACCCAGAGGCCCTCCCAGCAGCTGGTCTACACCCTGCTGGGCATCTACACCGGTACGTGCTCCACCAGCCCAGGGCAGGGTCCCCAGCAAAGCAGAGCCACACCTCCTTCCTGGGCTGACAAAGACCATCTCCCCCAATATAGAAGGAATCTCTCTTCTTCTGAAACATCCTTGCAAAATGTATTGGTCTGGATTACATGCAGGCAGTGTTCTTATGAATCAAATGCAGTACACCCGTGCTGTCTAACAGAGGATCCTGGGGTGATGAGATTGTTATACATCTCCAGAGCCCAACACAGTAGCCGTTAACCACTGTGGTTGTTTACATCTTAACTGATTAAAGTCTCAGTTCCTAAGTCTCCCAGCCACACTGCAAGTGCCCAGCAGTACAGGGGGCTGGTGGCTACTATAACAGAGAACTTGGTGGCCAGCTAGGGCACTGGGGTTGACTGTTTGTGTTTCAGCTGTGGCCAAGGGACCCTGAACATCCATAATTGCTATAAACCACCTTTTTTTTTTCTGAGAAATGTACTGAATACCTTCTGTGGAAAGGCTAGAGGGGCAAGTGCTCCCAAGTGCTGGTTGCATCTTAGCTGGAGACGTTGCAAGCTCATGGTGAAACGGCTGCCCAGAGGAAGTTAATTGTCATGACAAGGCTCATTCTTAGAAGTTCATTTTAATAGAGAATGTTATGTTAATAGTTTCATATGTGACTTTAGTGTTATAGTGAAAGGTTTATTACAACTTTGAAGGAGACACATTTAGAGAGTTTTAAAAACTATTTTGTAAAGAATTTAAATATATTCTTTTTTTGGCCAGGCATGGTGGCTCACACCTGTAATCTCAGCACTTTTGGAGGCTGAGGCGGGCAGATCACTTGAGGTCAGGAGTTCGAGACCAGCCTGGCCAATACGGTGAAACCCCATTTGCACTAAAAACACAAAATTTAGCTGAGTGAGCATGGTGGCATGCACCTGTTATCCCAGCTACTCGGGAGGCTGAGGCAGGAGAATTGCTTGAACCCGGGAGGAGGAGGTTGCGGTGAGCTGAGATCATGCTGCTGCACTCCAGCCTAGGCAACAGAGAAGACTCTGTCTCAAAATATGTGTGTATATATATATATACACACACATGTATTTATATATATATAAATACATGTGTGTGTATATATATTCTTTTATATATATATTTATATATAATATGTTATATATATTATAACATATATATGTGTATATATATTATAACATGTACTTATATATGTGTATGTATATATATATTCTTTGTCATTCTTGGATTTGGGGATTCATAAAGCCCTTGGAATGGGTCCTCCTTAAAGATCAAAGGTCTAGTACCTGTGAGCTCTGGGAACACCAAGTCCCGCACTCTGCCGGGGTCATAGGTGAGGAGGGTTCGTGCGCACTGTAGAGCTTTTCCTTGTGCTGAGATGATGTGCGGCACCACCCCTCAGGTCCCCTCAGGCCACTTCCACATCAGAGGCTCTGAGTGAGCACTTGCAAAGCAATGGCTGGAAGTGGACACAGCATACGGAAGCCATGCTAGGCCTTCTTGGTCCAGACATTCAGATGACTAGAAGCTCGCTTTTAGTAAGACGAGAGCCTAGTGAAGGAAACAGACACACACCCAACTAACCGAGACTCAGTCCAACGGTGTTCTGAGCACAGTTCCCAGCTGAATTGCAGCTGCATCTCCCTGGAGCACCAAGTTTCAGGAAAGCCTCCAAGGGTGGGTGGTCCCTACACTGAGTCTGGACAATGAGCAAGATTGGCCAAGCAGGGAAGTGGTGCTAGAGGGCCCTGGACGCGAGATGTCCAGGAGGAGCCCTCAGGGCTGGGGACAAGGTGGAGGGGCAGAGATGGGGCACAGGACTAGCTGTGGCCCTCGATGTTGTGCCAAAGGGTCTGGACGAAGGCAGACTTGCCTCCTAGACAGACCCTGTGCCAGCGTGACTTAGAGATGCAGAGGGACAGCGGGCAGAGACCCACTAAGGACGGAGTGCTGAGTCCAGAGGAGGGAGCAGGGAGGGGGAGGCAGAGGGGGAGGGGCTGAGAGAGAGGCCAGCAGGGTCCGTGTGGGTTGGACATGGTGTGGGAAAGAGCAAGACAGTCCTGGGGTTGAGAGGACGATGAGCTCAGGCCGGGAACACCTGGCTTGAGGACACAGAAGGACTCTTGCGTAGTGTCCAATGGCCAGTCTGACGCTGTGCAGGGCTCAGGCCAGAGGCTGATGCAAGTGTGGACGTGGAGGCATCTTCTGAGGTGGTGACTGGAATCGTGACAGGCATGAGGTTCTTAGGGAGAAAAAGCAGAGAAAAGTGTTACAAAGAAGGGAGTGCAGCCGGACCCCTGGTTCAGCAACACTGAGGGCCAGGCGGACAACTGGAGCCTTGGAAGGAGACAGAAAACCAAACCAGGGTCATGGAGCACACCCAGGGTTGCAGAATCAGCTGGGGAGGGGGTTTGAGAGTGTTGAGTGTGGCAGGGCCCCCAGGAGGCTCAGGGAGGAGGCTGGACCAGGCTCTTAGCCAGTGAGCGGCTATTGACGTCTATCACGAGAGCAACCTGGGGAGGGTGCTGGTGTGCAAGGCCCAGATTGAGGGCTTTAGAAGTAAGTGGAAGTTGTGGACAGGGAGTCAGGAGGAGCCACGGTTTGCTCTGGTCTGCAAAGCTCTGCTGACTTGGAATCGTGGTCATGTTTTCCCAGCAGGCCTCTACGTTCCCATCAACATGGTCCCAAGGACCAGCCAGGCCTGTGCTTCCCCCACATTTCCGCTCACCACCTCTTCTACATAGCTGGGAGGCTGGGGGACTCGGGGACATTGAGCTGAGTCAAGACCCTCAGGTCTCCTTCCAGCTCCACCCGTTCCAGTCATGCAGCCACCAACGAAGACATCTCCTATCTATAAAACAATAGAATTTTGGAGTAGGGGCTGGCAGCCTTCCTCTGTGAAGGGCTGACAGCAAATATTTCTACATGTGAAGATCTTTCTGAGGATCATATGGTCCTTGTTGCAACTGCTCAACATTGTCTTTGTAGTGAGAAAAAGCCATAGACCACATGTAAGCAAATGAGCGTGCCTGCGTGCCAATAAAACTTTATTTTCAAAAGCAGGCCATGGGCAGGCTTTGGCTCACACACCATAGTTTGCTGGCCCCTGCTGTAGAGGAACAGCACAGGCTTCTCCGTGGCTTCCAGGCCCTTCATTGCCCTCTGTCCTCCGCAGGTGGCTGCTCCCTGCAGCACCTCCCCTGCAGGGGCACCCCCAGGGTGCTGTCTTGTCACAGCCCCAGCCATTTATGCATCACAGACAATTCTCGGGTCATGGAATCCCACAGCCTAAGGGAGTCCAAGTCTAGAAGTTACGTATAGCAGAGATCACACACATATAAATGAAGAAGTGGTCTTACTATTGTGATCTTAACAGTCCTGCAGGACCCTATATGTGTCCTTTTCTATAAAGCAAGGCCATATCACCATAAAGAAAAACAAAGCAAGAAAGAAAAATGGACCTAAAAGAACAAGAACACCGTCTCCCTGGGTAACTTTCCCGGGTTTCTGAGCATTCCACTCACAGTCAAATTTCTTGCAAAGAGCCGTTCTCTTTAGAATGTAGGACACAGCTGTGCAGTATCCCCCAATTCATGCCCCACAGAAGGCTCTGAGTCACATGACATCTGGACACACATAATTCTGAACAAAGGGGTGTGGCTTCTGTGTCCATGACCTGCCTCTCCTCCTCCCAAGAGGCTTTCGGGGAGATTGGAGGTCATGTCCTACTGGGCTGCTTGACACTGAAGTCCTGGCCCACAAGATGAGATCGTGGAGAAGGCTCTGCCTTCAGTGAGTGGAGGAAAAATGTGCCTTTTCCACATGGTCTACACACAGTCAGCTCAGGAGGTTGGCTTGGAAGGGGGCCCTGACAGTTGTAAATACCCTATGGACTCCCGTGCAGGCGTGACAACCCGCCAGACCGCATGGTGGCCAGGACAACGCAGAGGAAAATGAAGGGTGACCCAGAAACAACCGTGGCAACAGGAGTCCCGCTTTCATATGGAATTTCACAAACTTCATGAGAATGTGGAATTATCATGAAATGGGAAGGGGAATATGTTTAGCCAAGATGGAAAGTAGGCAGATAACAGAAAGTAAAGCCTAGAAATAAATCTGTGCATTTCTGGGTGGAATCGGGTTAACAATGGTGCTTTCTGAGACAGGTGCTAGGATTCCGCTGTTTCTGCACACAGCTTGGAAGAGAGCTGGCTTTGCAAAACCTCCCAGTTTCAGGAACGCTCAGCTGCCGGGGCACAGTGCTGCAGCAAGCCCACTGCACGGGTCACACGAGGACCCTGATGCTGAGAGAGACAGAAAGCGCTGGATAAGGTTAGTCAGACACAGTAAGATGAGATCATTCCCATCGTCTTCAGAGGAGCAGGGGTCTAAGCTCTTGGAGGTAGAAATGAACCAATCTGAAAGATTCTGGCCCAGAGAGAAGGGAAGGATGGTCGCCAATCTTGAGCAATCTGTGATGCCCCAAATACTGTGTATCATGACCACTGCCAGGTGGGAAAGAAACAGTGGAGATGTAACGATATCACAGAAGGAACTTAGAATCATTAAGGGAATGAAAAGGCTTCTATGTAAAGTGAGAAACAGCTAAATAAATATCAGTTCTCCATTGACAGAAATTAAGGTAGATCAGATAATAAAGTGGTGGACAGAAATGATGGAGATTTAGTCATGACATTTTGGAATTATGAGAAAGTACAGGATGTTTCCTCATGGATGAAACGAATAGTTAAAATATTTTTTGCATAGATAACCCATTTATATGGTTGAAAATGCAAATCCAGGAGTCTCGCTTGTCCCCATTTCATTTTGTGTGACTTCAGTGACCTGAGGCCAGCTGCAGTCCGAGAACCTTAAGTGGAAAATTCCAGAAATAAATAATTCATAAGGTTTAAGTTGCAGTTGTTCTGAGTAGCGTGATGAAATCTCTTGCTGTCCTGCCCACCATCCCAGGCTGTGACCCTTCCCTCTGTCCAGCATGTCCGCACCATAGACGCTCCCCAGGCTGTAGACTCTCAGTAGCTGCCTCTGTTGTCAGAGTGAAAATATGTGGTGCATGTAGTCTGACACTGCCCATGGTTTCAGGCATCCACTGGGGGCTTGGAATGAACCCCTTTGGGTGGGCAACCACTGCACTGTGAAAGGGCGTGCGGTGGGGAGTCTCCCTCCCACTGCCGTCCTCAGACCCAGTTCTGCACCCATAGAAAGTCCATGTCTGCTTTATTTCCTAGACATATTTAATGCACATTTGAACAAGCACATCTATCTGTCCTTTCTTACTTAATTCAAGTGGTAGCACACTCTACACAAAGTTCTGACTCGTGGTTGTTTTTTCTCTTTTTACCATTTATGATGGGGATTTTCCCATCCATGTATAAAGAGCTTCTTTTTTATTTTCTTCAAATGCACAACATTCCATCGCAGTTGGGATACCCCTTAATATCTTTAACCAGTTCCTATTGGAGGACTTTTACACAAAATTGTTTATTTGAAATAAAAGCGTAGCACATGGTACCCTTGTGGGAATCATTATCCTAAAAATCACTAAAAAGCTGGCTGCTGTTAGAAATTGCTTTGGGGATTAGAATGAGAAGCAGAGTCAACGGTTAAGGACACTCAGATGTCTGAGGTCTCTCCGGAATTTTTTGTATTTTATGCCGGTGAGGACAATACTGACCGATTGTGGCAGGCTTCATGTGAAAGCCGGTAAGTCGTGAGCTAATCAGAGAATCAGCACAATCAAGTGCAACCAAACACCTGAGATCCTTAAGTGTGTCGTGTCTATTGTCACCTGAAATCTAGATCTCAATTAGCCCTCTCTCTCTAGAGGAGGATGAGCGACTGAAAGAAATCCGTGCCAGGCACCCTGCCTCTGGGCCCCCGTGAAAGCTGAAGCCTTTGCTATTTCCTTTCAGGGAGTGGTGTCCTGGCTGTCCTGATGATAGCTGCATTCCTCAAACCCATAGGAGACGTTCAACGGGAAAGTGAAGGAGAGAAGAAATCACCACCTTTCTGGTCCACTTTACTGTCGACTTTCAAGCTATATAGGGATAAACGTCTGTGCCTCTTAATTCTACTGCCTTTGTATAGCGGATTGCAGCAAGGATTCCTCTCCAGCGAGTACACAAGGGTATGAATGAAAGTGAGGGCCGGTGGCTCAGGCCATGCGTGGCATGACTGCTTCACCTGTGTCTGTACCTGCAGGACTGCAGTGTGCCAGGCCACCTGCCCAGGGCTGGGGCTGGGGGGAATGGGGTCCTGTGCTCCCAGTGCTACCATAGCTGAGTTTCTGATTCAAGGTCTCGACCTCCAAGTAACTTTCAACTCACTTCTTGTCTCAAGGGAGAACTTCTTGCTTGAACCGTGTCTTCCTGGGGAAAGAGCCAGAGCAAGTGGATGGGCAGCTGCCGCTGACTCACCCCGCAGACACTCATTCGTGTTATCCCTGCCTGGGCCTCACCCTGCACCCTTACTTTAGAGTTTACGTATAGGAAAAGCATTAGGTCCATGAATATCACTGAAATTCCTTATCCCTTTAGTTTTCTTTTTTTTTTTCTTTCTTTCCTTTTTCTTTTTTTGAGATGGAGTGATGCTCTTGTTGCCCAGGCTAGAGTGCAGTAGTGCCATCTTGGCTCACTGCAACCTCTGCCTCCCAGGTTCAAGTGATTCTCCTGCCTCAGCCTCCTAAGTAGCTGGGATTACAGGCATATGCCACCACGCCCGGGTAATTTGTATTTTTAGTAGAGACAGGATTTCTCCATGTCGGTCAGGTTGGTCTCGAACTCCCAACCTCAGGTGATCCGCCTGCCTCGGCCTCCCAAAGTGCTGGGATTACAGGTGTGAGCCACTGCGTCTGTCACCTCTAGTTTTCAAATCATGCTTCACAATCTAAAAATCGATGTGGCTCTCCAGGCTTCTGCTCCATCCACTCAGGCCACCTTCTCCCCTCAAGGTGAGAGAGGCGGTGCCCCACCTCAGGGCGGGCAAAGAAAGAAGCCTCTGTTGGGAGCTGTTAAGAGCTGGTGGCCAGAGCTGAACCAGCGTGGGCCTGTGTCTGGCAGAGGCTCTCCTTCCGGCGGAGCCTTCCCTGCTCTGTCCCCACCCCAGATCCCTCCCAGGCAAGGCTGACAGCTTAAGATAAAAAGCACCTCTGCAGGTAGAATTTGAATTTCAGATAAACCACAAATGTCTCTCCGGGAGTATGCCTAGGCAATAGTGGGTGTCCTCAATTTTATCTGGCAATGCTACTTTCAGGACAGCCTTGATGGAGAATCTTAGGGGCTTAAAAGAGTAGAAACAGGATAACAGAAAGGTACACTTGGCATTTTGGGGACAGCCCCTCCTGCTCCTCCACTGGACTTGTCCTTGTCACCCCCGATGTGGCTGTGGCTGGTCTCGTCTCAGCCTCTGTTCTGTGTGCCCGCCCTCGAGGCCGCCCGTGATGGGAGTGTGATGTGGTGGGTGTGAGAGCACGTGTGCAGCCAGCTGCTGGGCTGCTGAGGCCCCGGAAGAGGTGGCAGAGCGACCTCGTCAGTTTCTCTCTTTTTTTTTTAAACTCTCTTTAGACCTCACAGGCAATGATTGGCCCCAGCAAGGGCAGGGTGTATTGGCTTCCATATAAAATAATGCACATTTCACAGAAAATAGCAAGAAATATATGAGAAAAAATTTTGTCCAGAGTTGTCCAAACTGCCTCCTTTTAGTTCTTTCCCAAAGAGGATTTTCGTACCAACACCAGCTTTTCTCCTGCCTGGGAGCCACAGAGCCTAGAGGAAGGCGTCGGCCACACTGGCCTGCCGGCCGTCTCAGAGCAGATGTTCAAAGCACCCGACTGCAGCTTCAGCTTGAGTGCGGGAGGCCTGGGAGCGTCCGTGACATGGCTCTGCATCCCTCTCCCCAGTCCTACGTCACCTGCGCCCTGGGCATCCAGTTCGTTGGCTATGTGATGATCTGCTTCTCGGCCACCAACGCGCTGTGCTCCGTGTTGTACGGAAAGGTCTCGCAGTACACGGGCAGGGCTGTGCTCTACGTGCTGGGTAGGTAGCAGTGTGCGTCCCAACCCCAGCCGTCATAACGGTTTGCAGTAGCGAAAACGTGCAGCTCACAGTCAGGACGGGGCTGGAAAAGTGCCCCTGAAACTGCTTTGAAATCAGTGACGCCCTGTAAGATGCATTCATTCTTTCAGTCCTTCCTTCGCCCCCTCCTTCACCCCCTCAACAAGCAGGAATCAGATCTCTCTCCAAGCTGGCACTGGGCAGGCACTGTGCTCGGCATAAGACCACACAGCAAGTGCCTGCTCTGAGTGGGCACTCAGTGTGGTGACTAGGCCAGGGTGGGGCGGGGCGGGGTCTCTGCAGGTGCCAATGAGGGACACAAAGCCAGTGGTGAGGCCATGGGTGTCACAGAAGGTCACACTGGGGTTGGGGTGGCTCTGTTCCACATCTGTTCACACAGTGGATAAGGACAAGACTTCTAAGGCCACAGATTCCTCCCTAAACACACAGCGCCTTCCATTTTCCTTGGGAAGAGAAGGAAAGGGATGAGTCAGAGATCACGTGAACAATGGGGAATGTGGGCACTAAGAAAAACGGCGCCTGGCATGTCAATGCCCCAGGCAGGGCTGGGTGTGGGGGTGCAGGCAGAGGAAGGGCACACAGCGAGCATCTGCCAGGGCCATGGAGCCCAAAGGCACTGCCTGGGGTTTCCTATCCATCTTCACAGCCGCCCTGTGAAGCAGACAGTGTCCCCTTACAGAGAGGAAATCATGGAGCAGAGAAGTGGAGGGACTTGCCCAAGGTGGTGCAGCCCCGGGGGCACGCGGTGCGGACCTGCCTTTCTGTTGCCAGAGACCCTGCTCTTCCTCTGTGGCATCTTGAGCGTCACTGGGCAGCCTCGTTACTGCATCCTGGAGACGCCACAGCCTGTGGAAATGGGGGTCCCAAATCTGTGACCTGCTGGGACGAGTCACAAGGAGAGGCCCACAGATACCACCTGTCTGGGAGGTCTGTGGCCTCCTCCCTTTTTTCCCCACGGCCCCCACTTGGAAGGCTCAGATGAAACCATGGGCACACTTTGTCCTATCCCCTGGCCACTCAGAAAGGGGCTGGGATCCTTCGACTTATACCTAATGAGGAGGCCCTTCTCTTTCTGACTTGAAGCCCTCTTAGCTTAGGGGCAACCTCAGGCCCAGACAGGGTGACCTTCCTTCCCAATATGATGCCAGACCACACCCAAGGCCCTCCAGGCTGAGGCTGCGGGTCACACAGCAGGTATGTGGTGCAGACCATTGACTTAGAGCTGGCAGCACGCATACACACCAGCTCACAAATTAAATGTCAAGGTTCCAACTAAAAAGATGACTTCCAGAGCATTAAGGGAACACTGAGCATGAAGCAAACATTGAGACGGTTCCAGAGGATGGTTGAGAAGGTTGAGATGGTTGAGACGATTGAGATGGTTGAGACAGTTCCAGAGGATGGTTGAGAAGGTTGAGATGGTTGAGACGATTGAGATGGTTGAGACGGTTCCAGAGGATGGTTGAGAAGGTTGAGATGGTTGAGACGATTGAGATGGTTGAGATGGTTCCAGAGGATGGTTGAGAAGGTTGAGATGGTTGAGACGATTGAGATGGTTGAGACGGTTCCAGTGGACAGTTCCAGGGGACGGTTCCAGAGGACAGTTGAGACAGTTGCTCTAGTGCTGACCCACTTACGGGTCCCTCCAGGCCATGATGATGACCCTCATTGCCTGGCGGTTTCCTCTCTGCACCCCCAGGCACGGTGACCCATCTGTCCTGTATGATCGCCCTCCTGCTGTGGAGACCTGGTGCTGACCAGCTGGCGGTGTTCTTCGTATTCTCAGGCCTGTGGGGCGTGGCAGATGCTGTCTGGCAGACACAGAACAACGGTGAGTCCCCAGCCCAGGCCCCTTCCTGGCAGCAGGGGGGCAGTCCCTGGCCAAGGCAACTGTGGGGGCTCATTAGCTGCCAATGGGCCAGAGCCAGGAGAGGTGAGTTGGGAGAGATGGGAGGGCCAAGAGGGCTGTGATGTCGCCTCTGGGTCTGATGTATTTTCTCTGAGCATTTATTCAGATTCATGATGCAAAAGTGGAAAACCACCCGGGGTTCTTTCTGGGCACCATTCCCTTGGGATGATGTGGTTTTGCTTAAGTCAGGTCGCCCATCCGAGCCTGGGTGTGAGACTGTCTACCCCTAGGACAGCAGTCTCTTCATGACTGAAAACCTTCATTCAGACGTGCTTGTGATCAGAGGCACCCTCTCCGCGTCCCTGGGCCTGGGGTGTAAACACGCAGGGCCATCCAAGGAGCCCCGGGCGATGGGAGGTGGGAGTGTGAACCAAGGAGCCCATGGAAGATGGGAGGTGGCGGTGTGAACCACAAGCCACACATGTCACAGGTCACTAGGGTCAGTGTCTGTGGAGGGGGCTTTGGGGCTTCCTGGGCAGTGGTGGGTTTTCTGTGAGCAGGTGGGGACCCTGTGTATATCGGGGAGCAGGGGAGGCCAGGGTGGGCTTCGTCCTAGAGACCACATCTGCATCACATCTAGGCTGACCGCTGTCCAGATGGGGTGGGGTGCAGGAGGAACCAGGGCAGGAGGCGGCGGGGGGCTCCAAGGCCTTGCTGGGGCTGGGGTCCCCGAGAAGGCGGCCTAGGGGGAGTGCAGAGGGGTGGGGTGGAGTGGCCGTTCGGGTCCCCATGTGTGGGGCCAGCATGCGGGGGAGGGTCAGATGCGCCTGGGTCACTGGAAGCAGCAGAAAGCGCTGACACCCAGGAGTGACTGGGAGCTATGTGGAGTCTGTACCGTGTCACAACAATCAATTCCAAAAGGCAGGTGACAAGGTCTAAGGTGCAGTCCTAGGGGGAGCCGGGAAGCCTGGTTGTCAGATGGAAGGTGATATCCCGTGATGATGGCAGGAGCCAAATGCCAAAGTCCTCACAGAATAGGGTGGCCTGGCCAGGAGGTCAGGCAGAACAGTGAGGGCACGGGTGGGAGAGGAGCAGGAGCCAGGGAGGAGCCAGGGAGGAAGGGGCCCCAGGCTCAGGCAGCGGCACCAGAGAGGTTCCAGAGAGGCCTGAGGGCAGGCAAACTGGGAGGGGATGCCGCAGTTGCACCTGTTATTCCAGCTACTCAGGAGGCTGAGGCAGGAGAATCCCTTGAACTCTGGAGCAGAGGTCGCAGTGAGCCAAGATTGTACCACTGCACTCGTGCCAGGCTCTGCTGAGCTCTGAGGTGCTTTGTGCTGGCTGGTCGTGTTTTCCACAAGGAGACGTGTGAGAGGGTTTTGGAGGAAGGTCACTAGGAAGAGAAGGAAGCTGGGTCAGTGTGTGTGGCCACTGGTTGGAGGGTGTGCGTTCTGGGTGGTGTTGAAAATAACACAGATGAGGGCTTGGGGTAGGAACCCTGAGTTTCCCCAAAACCCCATCTAAGGTCCCGAGGGGTGTCAGAGGCCCAAAGAGGCAAGACTGCGTGTCTAAGAGATGCCAATGAAGCAAGATGAAGGGTCCTCTTGGAGGTGAGCATGGCTCACATGAGACCCTCCTCCCTCCAGGAGAGACATCAACATTCTGCCTTTATCTGGCAAACACTCGGGGCTTAGAAATTGGAAAAAGCAAACCCACGAAGGAAGTACAGGCCAATGTTTCTGAGATGACGGACCTGGCTGCTGTCCCGCACTGAGGATAAAGAGCACATGTGACCTCAGATCACGGACCGAACACTCCAGCCACGTCCTTTCTTGTCTTCCTGGTGGGTTGCCATCCACAGGACAGCTGAGAATCATCTTTGAACAAACCCGCACTGTTGGATTTAAGGAGCCGTGTTTCACAGTCCTTTCTGCTGCCCCAGGAATGCAGGTGGACGTAGTGAAGCTCTTCACCAAAATGAGTGTGTGCTTGGCCCAGCGCCATGCTCTGGCTTGTCGGGATCAAGGCTGGGAGCCTGGAAGGGGTAGATTGGACCCGAGGCCAGGCCAGGGCATTGCTTAACAGAACTAATACTGATTTAATGGAGGGGAGTAAACAGCAACTCACTTTGGTGTTTTTGGCAGTGCAGAATTATAAGCTAGCGGCGTGTCATGTCGCCTGCAGGGCTCCTAGCTACGTTACCAATAAGCATCACACAGCATTTGTTTAAACCGTCCCCTGGACGTATGGCAGAGCCAGTGTTTTATGGAGGTCCCCAAATGCACATCCCATTATCAGAAGTGCACAGTGACTTATCTGAACTTACTTGATTTAAAAATGTATTTACACATTAAATTAAAAGAAAAACACTGGGACAAATATCCCCACAATATTTCATAAGATAATTCTCTAAATGCTCCCAATGAATGTGATCATTCGTATTTGGTTTTTGTTCTTCCTGAGCTATGTGAATAGTGGACTTAACTCTCCTTTTCCTTACATGGACACACGGTACTCTCAGGGAAGGTCTTGTTGAACTGTGCAAACAAAGTTACCTAAGGACAAAGAGTATGAATGTCCAAGTCCAGTGAATGACTGGAATAAAGACTCCTTTTAATAAGGGATGCTAACTTAAATTGAAATTATTTATGTCTTTCTGTACAGGAAAAAGTAATTTTTTTCAAAAATAAACCAAATTGGCCGGGTGCGGTGGCTCACCCCTGTAATCCCACCACTTTGGGAGGCTGAGCCAGGCAGATCACTTGAGCTCAGGAGTTCGAGACCAGCCTGGTCAACATGGTAAAACCTCATCTCTACTAAAAATACAAAAATTAGCCTGGCGTGGTGGCACATGCCTGTAGTCTCAGCTACTAGGGAGGCTGAAGCTGGAGAATCACTTGAACCCAGGAGGCAGAGGTTGCAGTGAACTGAGATCACGTCATTGCACTGCAGCCTGGGTGACAGAGCAAGACTCTGTCTCACAAAAAAAAAATGTTGGGGAAAATATTTTCACATACTTGAGAAGCTCCTGTGGACTTTACTCTAGCAATCGTCATGCGCGAGTGGCATTTTAGTACCGTGTTTGTGCACTCCTGGCAGGCTGGCTCTCCATGCAGCACAGCACACACACAAGGTCTCTGTTCTCTATTTTTTGAAAAAAATGGAAATTTTATGTAGCTTTGGCTACATCTCAAAAACAGCTCTTTCTCATTTTTGTTCTTCTAAATAGCAAGTTAGATTTCTAATCCTATTCTCCCCAAATGTGTGCTTTCTTTTAAGAACATATGTGGGCCACATGTGTTCCTAATTAACGACACTGAATAAAACCCAATGAACTTTGTCCTCACTTTTTAGTCATCACTGCTCAGTTTAAAGACAGGTCCTTACAGTCTCCCACTTAGAAGCAGGTCAGAGGACTTCACCATTCGAGCCCCTCCTTCCTGGGCCAGAATTGAGAATCCCCGGCTCACTGTCCCACTGGGCTCCAGCGATCCCCCGGCCTCTGCAAGGGGAGATCTGTGCCAGGCACTCCTCTCTGCTTATTCCCTCTGACAGCAAATGAAAGATGGGTGTGGTTGCCAGGGCAACTCTTCCTCACCAATGCACTGCCATGAAGATATGGAATGTCTATTCTAAAAATACTGTTTTGCTCTGTTGGCTGTTTTCAGGCCGATAAACCCAGAAAATATGACTTCTTCAATGCCCTATTCACTTAACCTGTCTTCTCTGACCAAACAAGATTGCTGAACTTCTCATCCCCATCCCAGTGTTTGAGGACAGGAGCCACATCCTGGTCTCTTTAACCCTGGGCCATCTGGGAAGAGGAAGCTGACAGGCCAGGCTGAGAGCAATGCTTTGTCTTTTTAAATACATTTTTTATTTTGAAATAGTTTTAGATTTACAGAAAAGTTGCAAATGTAGAGTCCCCTTGAAAGGTACCAACCTAGAGACCCAACTCATTTACCCCATAGGCCTGTGCCAGCTTCCCCAAATGCTGAGCATCTCACACAGCCACGGCACATTCGTACAGCTAGGAAGTAACGCTGCCATGTGACAGTTAGTGGAGGGACAGCCTTTATTCGGGTTCCTCCAGGTTTCCCACGAGCGTTCTTTTTTCTGTGCCAGGATCCTGTCCTGGACTCCCTGTTGGACTCAGTCATCGTATCTTCTGGCTGCTCTGTGGCAGCTTTTCATTTTCCTTGTTTTTCATGACCTGGACCCTTTGGAAGAGCACTGTAGTTTGTAGGCTGTCCCTTAACTTTGGTTTGTTTGCTGTTTTCTCATGATTAGGCTGGGGCTGAGGGTTTGGGGAGGACAATCCCCTGGTGAGGTGCTTCCCTGTCCCATCATATGGGGGATACAGAAGAGGGACAGGCCTCCTCACCAGCGATGTTAACCTTGATCCTGTGGGCACCGTGGTGCCAGCCACATCTCTCCACTGCAAACTCTCCACCTTCCCTTTCCACATGCGGTTCTGGAGGAGCGAGTGCCCAGGGAGCCAGCAGTCAAGGAGAGAGCAGCTAATCTCCAACTATGTGTACGTCTATGTGTACACTGTAATTCTTCCACAAAAAATACCTGTCCCTTCTCCCCGATGTATTTGCTGACTCAATCATTGACCTGCATCAGCATGGGCTCGTATATTTACTTTGCACTTTGGGTCACCATCCAACGCCACATTATTTCTTTATTAAGGTGGACAGTAGGCCACGGGGCTTATTCTGGCCCCCACTGTGTAGCTGTCACTCCTTTCTCTGGCAGCCAGAAGGCTGGTTCCCACTAGGTATGACCGCTTCCTTGTGTGTTCAATCTTGTACACGCATACAGTTATTTCAGGATTGTTGAAATACCGTTTTCAGTCTACTTTCCTTTTTAAAAAATGTCTTTCCCCACTATGTCCTTAGCTGTGGGTAGTTCCATGCAATTTGAAACAATAAATGCATTGCTTTCTTTATGTTTAGATTAAAATAGGCACCAAATCTTGAGTAATTCCCTGAAAAGCCTGACTTTAATTATCTCTGGTGTTGGCCTCTCCTCCCCTAGACTGGGCTGATGTCATTCACACACGTGGCTTCCCCTTCCCCGAGTGGGGCAGACGGTTTCCCCTGATTCTTCCTCGGAGTTTCTTAAAGGCAGTTCCGGCGGCATCATCTGGGTCCTTGGCATCTCCCTCTGTAGGCGTGGACCCTGCTTCTGTGGGTAGAGATGTGTTAGGAGACAGGTGAGAGTGATGGTGTCACCTCTGTCTGGGGCCACTCCCATCTTATTCGGCCTCCTCAGTTCTGTTTTGTGGCCAGGGGACAGCCCACTTTCCAGCCACCTTCTGGGTCCCAGATCCTCCATGCTGGGGGCTCCTCCTGTCTCCCAAACACATCTAGGCGATTTTGAACACAAGTATGTGAGCCAGCAGACAGTCTAGCTCTTTCTCTCTTTGTTGTGGATCTCCTCTCTACGTTCAGATTTTGGAACCAGAGTCAGCGAATGTCAAGTTCTTCATGTGACATGTGAGGCATTAAGGGCCCGGAAAGTTTACATTTATGGAAAAACTCAGAGGGCTGAGGAGAACACGGCTACTTATGAAGAAGCTGAATTGGCCTTGAACCAACCAGAACTTGATGAAGGGAGACGATGGGGGAGCGGGGTGAGTCCCTTTCTTGGAGGACAGCGATTTCTAATCATGGCAGCACAATATAAATTTCATCTTGAAATGCTTGAATGATATCAACCCATATTCCCAAAAAGCTTAAAATTAGAGTTGCCTGTGTTACTAGAATATTTATAATCTGGGTCCATTGGCTTTGGTTTTGCGACCTGCCCAGGGTGCAGCTGGGAGCTTTTAGCCACAGAACATAGCATGATCTACCACTTATAGCCATGGTGTCTCAACTTGGATTTTCTTCCCTAGAACCTTGGTTTTGGATCCAGTGCTAAGAGTCACCCTCAAAAAACAGGCAAGAGGTGTTTAGAATAGTCTCAGAAGCCAACTAAATCTAAACTTGGTTATTCAATTCTCTTCGGTCATTACTTTTATTAAGGTGGACAGTGTGCAGACTGTGGGACGAGAAGGGCACCTTGTCCTGAGGGTTCCAAAGAACTTCTTGTTTCCCGAACATTCCTAAGCTGTTTACAATGTGAATCTTAGGGCAAGAGCTGTAGACAAGGTACTCCCCTGCTGTAAGCGCATCTGCATTGGTCTTCAGCAGTAGAGGAACATTCACGATGTGAGTTGTTTTGTATAAAACCAGCTGGCAAACCCTGGGGCGAGCTGTTTTTCATCACTTTCTTTAAATCCAGAGGAAAAAAAAGCACCCCTTTGGATGGGAGTGGAAGGTCCCTGGGGTCAAGTTCACGGACATCTGTCATGTTGCTGTGGAAATGAGCAGGCCAGCCCCAGGAAGGACAGCGCCTGTGCTTCTGGGTGTTTATCTGGACACTTTCCTTCTTGGAGGGAATCCCTCTCTCAGTGACATCATCTGTTGCCTGGGAGGGACAGGGCCTCGTCCTTCCCAGGCCATCCCAGGGCGGCTGCTGGGGACGGTGGCTTCAAAGACTGTGTTTCACAGCCCTTGTCATTGCCCTCCCTGGAGCCACACAGCCAGGCAGGCGCCCTCCCAAACACAGCGGTGCTGGGCCTCCCTGAACATGGTATCATCTCCAGCACTAAGGAGTGGTGGGTAGAGCGAATCTTCGGAAAGACGGTTCTCTCCGCACTCAGTGTGTATCTTGCGCTGAACCAGGTGCCATGGAGTTTACGAAATTAAACACCATCCTCCCTCCCTCAAGGACCCCAGCGCTGGCAGTCTGGAATCCTCCTGGGGAACCACATGCTTCTGCCCCTGGTTTCAGGCCCTGCTGCCTGCAGTTAAGGTCACAGCACACCCTGCCCCACCGGAGCTCAGGCTGCCTCTGTCCCTGCACCTGTCCCTGCCCCTCACCTGCCCACTTGGCTTCAGCCTGTGGAGGGTTTTCCTGGGTCTCGTGGCCAGCAACCTGGGCGGAGCCCCAAAGGGGCCGCTGTGTTTAAATCACAAGCAGGAAAATCCTGGGGCTCAAAAATCAAAAGGGAAAAGTCACGCTGGGATCTGCTTGGGGCCAACCTGCCTGCCATTCTATTCGAAGTCATCCCTCTGCTCACTGATCTGAATGTCTCCTTTGGAGAGGCTCATCAGAAACGCAGAAGAATGCGACCATTTGTCTCATCTACCCATGACCGGGAAGCCCCCTCCCTGCTTCCAGTCTTCCCACCTTTGCTTGGAGTTGTCTTGCCTTTCTGGACCAAACCAATGCTCGTCTTCACCAAACCAATGCTCATCTTATCTATGTTGATTGATGTCTCATGTCTCCCTAGAATGTATAAAACCCAACTGTGCCCCAACCACCTTGGGCACATCTCGTCAGGACCTCCTGAGGCTGTGTCATGAGCACCCGTCCTCAACCTGGGCAAAATAAACATTCTAAATTAACTGAGACCTGCCTCAGATTTCCGGGGTTCATGCTATCATCTGCCATGTAAAATCATTCTGTTGTGAGAAAAGAAAAATGTCCTGATTTTGTTGAGAAAATGGGGCAGTGGGAAAGCCGTTGTGCTCTTTTCATGAACAGGGTCACCGTGGGGCCCAGGGCAGAGCTCTCACTC